GTAAGTGAGTGTCATTTTTAACAGCTTTTTAAGCTCTGTCTAGTGAAGTGACCACTTCAACAGATGTCTCGGATCATCCGGAAGACCAATGCTTGGCCATCCTCAAATAAGAATCAGTTCAAAATCTCAAATTCAAGTTTTAACCACTGGTGCAGCAAAGAGGAGGGGGATTCAAACCCTCCCCCTCTCCCTCAGAGCCGTGGGGCACATATATAAAACTCTCTTTAGGCCTTTTTCGGCTAACTGGTGGTAACTTTTGTTCATTTTTCGGAAGTCAACTCTCTCTCACTTTTACTCGATCTTTTCCTAACTGGAAGTCTAGGATACTTCGACCATTTATCCCATAAAAATTTCCAAAAATAACTTCCTAGCTCGATATCCTCCCTTACTCGATGTTTCAAAATCAAGTACGGGAGAGCTGACTGCAACGTTTTGATCAAGTTTTCACTCATTTTTTTAAATATCAAAATAATCATTGTTTGTTCAAGATCTTTCAAAACAAAATGTTTGTAGTGGTCTCAAAATGTAGGAGAAAGTCTCTTCTTCATTTAAATCCCTGGTCCTTCTGGCTTCCTTCAGGAGCTTCTTCTAACTACCTCCGGAAGTTTAATTTTTGTCCATTTGAAACATTTATCCGACTTATCTTGGAAGTTTCTTTTGACTTCCTTTGGAAGTGTATACCGACTTTTCCCGAAATTTTATTCTGACTTATCCCAGGAAGGCTCTTTCATTTTTTCCTGAAAGTTTATTACATCTTTCCTCGGCTGGTTCCATTTTTATTGGGATGTTTCTTATGACTTGCACCGGAAGATTCATCCAACTTCTCCTAGAGATTTCTTTCGATTTACCCCAGAAGTGCTCCTGGGTTCCTCCGGAAGCTTCATGTAACATAATTGTTGCTTTTTTTTCCAGACTTCCTCCAGAAGATTTTTCAGACTGTTACCGGGAGATTCTTGCAAACGCTGGAAACTCTTACTGACATCCTTCACTTTTACTTATCCTGGGTGTTGATCTCCCGGCAATACTATCAGCTTTTCCCTGATTTTTTCCAACTTTCGCCGTCATTATTTTTGGAAATTAGCAGGACATTCTTGTAAACCTCTTCAAAAAGTTCACTTGTAATCATGTCAGTTTTACAACCTTCCACCCTCCACCCACACTCACTCGAAATGCTGGCTACGCCACTGCTGTGAACGTTCTGGATCAACTCATGGCCAACTTAGACCCAGATCCATTCCTGAATCCTAAATTCACATATTTACTTCAAGTTCTATTGTTTTAGAGCAAGTCACGTTTGAAGTGTACTGCTTCTTGAAGTGGCAACTTGTACGAATTTATTAGAAAACCAATTCGAGGTCATTGAAGGTCCAAATTCAGTTATCCATTTTCATTTCACATATTTACCACAAGCTGTATTGATTAGAAAAAAATAGCTTGTAGTTCTGTTTCTGAAGATCCGTTCATGTTCGTGTAAAGTCCATTTTTACTTCCCAATCTCAAATTCACACATTTATCGCAAACCCTACCGGTTTAAAACAAATTAAAGCATTCCGATGGTACCAATTTTTCAGATGTATCGGATCTTCCGGCAGGCCAGTTAATGGCGGGGTCTGGACCTTTTTTACAATTCATTTTCAGTTTATGTCGATCTTCGATTTTACATATAATTCGGATGTACGTGAACATTAGACTGATGCAAAAATTGAAATTTTCGCTCCACAGTGCTCAAACGGTTCCAAATTTGGCCCTGATTAGCCTCCCAAAATTTGAACTCAGGTCCCTTTAACCAGAGGTCCTTTGATCCAAATGTCCCTTCAACCAAATGTCTCTTTGGTCAAATGTCCCTAGACGAAAGTTTCTATTGACTAGAGGTACCTTCAACCAAATGTCTCTTCGGTCAAATGTCTCCTCGACCAAAGGTCCCTTGAACCAGAGATTCCTTGAACCAAATTTCCTTTCAACTAAATGTCTCTTGGGTCAAATGTCCCCTTGACCAAAGGTCCCTTTGACCAGAGGTCTCTTCAACCAAATGTCCCTCCAAATAAATGTCTCTTCGGTTAAAGATTCCTTTGATCAGAGGTCCCTTCAACCAGAGGTCCTTTCATCCAAATATCCCTTCAACCAAATGTCCCCTCCACCAAAGGCCTCCTAGACCATAGGTCCTTTCAACCAAATATCCCATCAACCAAATGTGTCATCGGTCAAATGAACCCTCCAACTAAGGTCTCTTAGACCATAGGTCCCTTCAACCAAATATCCCTTCAACCAAATGTCTCATCGGTCAAATGTCCCCTCGACCAAAGGTTCCTTGGACCAGAAGTTCCTTCAACCAAATTTCCGTGCAACCAAATTTTTCATCGGTCAAATGTCCCCTCGACCAAGGGTTCCTTCGACCAAAGGTTCCATCGACAAAAGGTCCCTTCAACCAGAGCTCTGCAGAGGCCTTTTCATCCAAATGACCCTTCAACCTAATGTCTCTTCGGTCAAATGTCCCTAGACGAAAGTTTCTATCGACCAGACGTACCTTCAGCCAAATGACTCTTTGGTCAAATGTGTATTCGACTAAAGGTTCCTTGAACCAGAGATCCCTTCAACCAAATTTCCTTTCAAATGAATGTCTCTTCGGTCAAATGTCCCCTCGACCAAAGGTCTCTTCGACTAGAGGTCTCTTCAAACAAATGCACCTCAAACTGAATGACTCTTCGGTTAAATATACCTTTGATCAGAGGTCCTTTCAACCAAATATCTCTTCAACCAAATGCCTCATCGGTCAAATGTCCCCTCGACCAAAGGTTCCTTGGACCAGAGGTTCCTTCAACCAAATTTCCGTGCAACCAAATTTCTCATCGGTCAAATGTCCCCTCGACCAAAGGTTCCTTCGACCAACAGATCCTTCGATCCCTTTGATCTAAGCTCTCTTCGATTAGAGGTCCCTTCGACCAAAGGTTTTTTCAACCAATAGCTTCTTCGATCAAATGTCTCGTCGGTCAAATTTTTCTTCGGTCAAATGTCCCTTCAGTCAAATGATCTTTCAGTCAAATGTCCATTCGTGGGTTTGTTGTTCAGTTAAATATCGTTCATATCGTAATGGTCAAAGTCTGGGATTATAATTTTCATTACATGCCCCAGGATTAAAAAAAAATCCCAGGTCCCTTCAACTAAATGTCTCTTCAGTCAAATGTACCTTCGATCAAAAGTCCCTTCGAGCGAAAGTCCCTTCAACTCAAAGGTTAAGGGGCATGTAACGCATAAAACCGGTGCATCGGAGATAACCTTTGCTTGCCAAACGTCTAAATTAGCATAGATTTAAAAATTAAATTAGCTCTAAAATCATAATTTCTCAATCTATTTCTTCACAAAAAGTTGCATTTTGTCGGGAATCTATTGAAGGTTTTGAATCCATCTGAAAACATTTGGATCAATACATGGTTTCGGAGTTATTTCGGCTCCCGTTGGGGTCACTTTTGGGCGGCATTTACCTTTACTGTTCTGTAATAAGTATACACACGATAAACATAATGTTTTTACAAATCTTGGCCGGTAATGGCCTTATTGAGAGTCCATGGTCACATTATCCCTCTCGGGCATATTTTGGTGCCCCCGGGGAAGTGACCAATTCTCAACAAGAACCGAAACTCATCGTGCAACATATCAAGATTCATGATTTTATAAATCTTGGCCAGTAATGGCCTTATTGAGAGTGCATGGTTACACTAGCCCTTCCGGGAATGTTACGGTGCCCCAGGGGAAGTGTTCAATTATCAACAAGAACCAAAACCCATCATTCGACATATAAAACTTCATGATTTGATCTATTTTGGCCGGTAATGACCTTATTGAGAGTCCACGGTCACACTTGTCCTCCCAGGCATGTTTTGGTGCCCCGACGAAGTGGCTAATTCTCAACAAGAACCAAAACCCGTCGTACGACATATCAAACTTCATGGTTTTTCTTAACTCGGCGGGTAATGGATTTATTGAGATGACAGTCTTCTTGATACCGTGCCGATTCAAATTTCGGACACTTAAACTCGAATTTCGGACACTTTTAAAAGTTGATTATCTCGGTCGAATATGATCCACATGTCTTGTAAATTTTAAATTTTTTTGACTAGTGCCCTCCACGATCATCTAACATTATTACTTTGTTTCTAACTGGATGTAATATTTAATTAAAAATGAAAGTGTCCGAAATTTGAATCGTCCGAAATTTGAATCGGAACGGTATGTTGTTTCCGATATTATTCAAGAGGAAAGAAACAATCCTCTTTGATATTTTTGAAAACGCATCGACACTTTAAGAAACATAAAATTAATATATTTATAACTTCTAGAGTCGCTTAGTCCCGTAATTAACGTTAGTCTAATTATTCAATTACCTACATTTAAGCTAACCTTTAAATGCCACTTGTAGTCACCAGAAATCCTTCTCGCAAAACCTCACCAACTAAGCTTGAGTTGCACATAAAACTTCTAATCGAAATGCTCCCTACTACCCGCAAGCAAGCTCCATCTCCAGCTTGGGCTCTTTGCATAGATAGATGACTCAATCCCATTCACAATCTAACTGACATTCAACATTTTCGCCGACTCGATCGCAGTTCGTTGAAAATTCTTGTACACTCTAAAAACCGCCATACCGTGCTCATCAGATTGCAAAAAATGAAGGTGAAAATCGTGTGAGTGCCGGTGCTAATCTAAGCCCTCTTGCGCCCCTTCCTCCGTGTAACAACGGTCGGCGAACATTGGCGTGAAATTAAGGCTCGACAGAAGATGAAAAAGTTAGCACTACCAGCCACCTAGCCTGGCAATTACAAGCTTTAATGATACATATATTCTATACACGGGTGACTCGACGTCTCACAGGCCGGATAGAAAGAGCTCATCATCATCTGCACCAGCGTCGTCGTCGCTTCATGTGTGGCGGAGTGTGCGGTGTTTTCCGATTTTCATGGTTTAAGTTTTGTTTTTTTGCTGAATTTCTGATTTCCACCCATTAGAAGCGAAGATCCAGGTGAGAGATAGAAGCTGAAATAGATATACCCTTGTCTCTGGGTGGCTAAATAAAACGAAACCATCATTTGCTGTCGCTAGTGTGTGAGACATCAATCGTGAATGTGTACATACAAATTTTTTTCCTCTGCCTTTTCTGACTTGTTGGCGCGATTCCCGCTGGATTGTGAATTCCGGGTGTTGTTTGGCCGGTCCCTCGTTGTCACGCGAAAAGGTTAGTGAAAGAGAGAGAGAAAATCTGCTGAAAGAAAAGTGTGATTAAGCGAAGATTTAACGGATCAGTGATAAATTGGTGAAGTGTGAGAGGTTGAAGAAGAGAATAGAAGACCCCGCAGTGCCCGTCGCTCCCCGTCCCCAGCAGCAAGCCCCATCGACGGAGTTCAAGTAGATCTAAGGCCGAGGTTATTGTGAGTTGTGTGCGAGAGTGTCGTTGATGTTTTTTTTTTTTTTGGTTGGTGAGAAACAAGGTCAATGGGAGATTTTGTTCATTCTCTTTTCTCCGCTTAATCCGGTGGGATGGTGAATTTTGATTAGGCGAGTTTCGAGGAAACCCCACACCCCTCCCATTGGGCTTTCAGTACACTGTGAAGAGAGAAGATCGTTAATTAATCGTTCTAGTTTGGGAAAACGCGCCTGGGAATTGTGTATACGGATAATTGATACATTAACAACAAGTTACAAAGAAGAAGAAGAAGGAGAAGAATAGTTCAAGTGAAAAACGGAAAAGGTTTCAAGTGTACTGCGTTTACAATCACATCGCTGCTTGTGTTGAATGTGGAAAAAGGGATTGTGGAAACTGTTAGCTAAGCGTACCAGTACGAGAATTATCAATCACTCCGAGGCCGTGTGGAATCCATTAAAAAGTGACTACCGGTGAGTAACACTAGATATAGGAATGAGGAGATCGTACGTGAATTGTTGGTTGATCATGCTTCCAGCGAATGAAAGTACATTCTGCTGTTGTTGTGATTGTTGGGGATTATTAGTAGCTGTAATGAAATTCTTTTGTTTGCAATGAAATGAGATGCCAAAGGGGTGAGAATGTGGAAAATATTTTGTTCTTCCATCGGTACAGAAGACCAAGCGTGTTTGAGTAATTAGTTGACTGTTAATGTATTAATTTATTCTAAATTCATGCCTATTGTTGACATTTAGTACTGCATAATTTGGAAACATTTTATGTAACATTTTTTATAGGGCAATGCTGACAGCTACGCTCGTTAACTTTGTCAGCCATGGATATAAAATTTGGTTTTTATTCTTTGGATTGATATTTGGTTTTCTTCGTCAACATTAATGTTGAAGTGGTTGAATTTAGTTTTACTGATGCGGTTCCAATGCTTTGGTTCTTGTTGATGAGGTATTTTTTATTCATGAAACTCCAGATATTTTTCAGCTATAACGATAGGAAAACATTAAAGTTCGGTTTCAAACATTGAATGAGTACCTACTAAAAATTTAAAAGTTCTCAACGCGTTGTCTAATATTGAGCCCTTTGTTGATGATGATGGACTAGAATTTTCGCGCTTTGTAATATTTGTCGAACTTCAAATATCAAACTATGAATAATTTTGAGGATTGAATTTACAGAAAAAAAAATGTTTCGTATGGAAATTTTCGAGAATATTTTGAAATGTCGCATCACGAAAAAATTAAAGCCTCGAATATGAAACAATTTAAAGTTTCTAGTAATTCTGTTATTAGTATTATTTTTAAGGTACTATCTATAAAAACTTTCATCAAAATTTCGAAGATGAACTAGCCTATGGCTAAAAATCTCCTTGATTTAGTAAAAACAATTTTTTTTATCAATATATCGGTCTGGGAATTATTTTCATGATTCTTCAATTTTAAAAACTCCTTTTTGTTCCAGACTCAGAGAATCTGGCCTAAGGAAAAACTATCCTGATAAAAGACATCGATAACTTCTTCCTCTTCCTCGCATTTCAAGCTTATTGTGTATGGCATATTAGCTTATTGCGTGCTCTCAACTATGTGTTCTAGATGCACTTACACAGTTATTAATTAAGAGTTTTCGATGCCAATACCAATGCATGAATTTGAATAATTGTGTTGCAAGTACAATCATACTCTATGCCCAGGGAAGTCGAGAAATTTTCCAACCCGAAAAATTCCTAGACCGGACCGGGAATCGAACCCAGCCACCTCCAGCATGGTCTTGCTTTGTAGCTTTGCCTTTACCGACTAATGGAGGTCCCAGACATCGATAAACATTTAAAATTGTAGGAATATTTTTATCTGGTATCTAGGGTTTGACATAAAAAAAATCAAAATTTAATTATTTTTTTTTAATCCCGAACGTAACTAATTTACGAGTTTTGGAGAGGATTTTTTAAATCTATTTTTCATTCTTTTAAATAAGCAGTTCCTTTTTGGGTTGCATGGTGTATTTTCGTTTCTCAGACTTTGCGATGAATCTTACGACGCAGCAACCATTGATATATACAGTCAGTCTAAGCTAAGCTAAGCTTAATAAGGTCCTAAATCGTGATTTGATGGGTGTTTGGGGGTTCGAAATCTTTAATGTTTTTTTTTTTTTAATCGAGACTTAGTTTAATCGATGGAAGTTTGAACACGCGAATTTTCAAAATCTTTTTTTTTCACTATATACATTCAAGGGAAATGCACCAGCATTGGCCATGTTCGTATTTTGGCCACCTTTTGAGATGATATTCAGATATTCATTCATTTACATAAACATTTCGACCAAAAAATGCACGAATATTGTAATTTTATCGATTTTCTGAGATGTGGTCAAAGTAGGAACCTATGGCCAATACTGGTTCACTTCGTAAACTTGAAAGAGCGATTGATTTTAAGATTATGAATCATTAAGGCACCTGCTGGTTACAGATCAGCCGGATAAGATCCTTTCGATTTATTAGTTTGAATTTAATTTAATCTTTACCAAATAACGTCTCAACAAATCAATTGAGGAGCTCGGCTAGCTTAATGCCTGTCACTTTTGCTAGTCTGTTTAAGACTTGTTGATAGTAAATACTAGTCAAATCCTTCTCAGGAGCAGTTGTCGTCGTCGTCTGTTGGCTGCCGCCGGGACCGAAATCTAGTAACAGCAAGTTGAAGGGAAGCTTAATCGTAATTGTTTTGTGATATAAGGAGTGGTGATCGATTTGGCTTATTGAACTGAACATTATGGGTTCAATCTCAAGCTCCTTCTCATGATAGAGTTTAATGTAAATTAGATTTATTCCTTATATGAGATAAAGCGTATAGCAATCTGGTGATGACGTGTTCATCGGAAATCTATAACAAACCTTTTTCAAGAGTAGTTGTTATCGTAGTAACAGCAAATTGAAAAGGAAGTTTGTCGTAATTGTTTTGGGAACTCCTTCGTTGACCGTTCAATTTTTCTTACTGAGCAGAAAATCATGGGTTCAATGCCAAGCTCCTTCACATTATAGAGTTCTACTTTAAATCGGCTTTCTTTCACAATATGATATAAAGCGTAATGAAATTCGGTTGGAGGGACGAGTACGTAAAAGAAGTGATATTTGAGTTTTAGGAAAACCATGTTGATCAGAAATCCATATAAAGTCCTTCTCAAAAGCAGTTGCTGTCGTCGCCTGTGATGCCACCGCCAGGATTGAAACCTAGTACCAGCAAGTTGAACGGGAACTTGATCGTAATTGTTTTGTGAAATAAGGAGCTAGGTGGCCTTGTGGCAACCGATTTTGCTTACTGAGCAAAAGACGGTGGGTTCAAACACAAGCTCTTTCGCGCTATTGAATCGTTTGGACATCAATTCAGCATATCGTTTATCAATACAAATTCTGATGCAATCCCAACTCTTTTATCCAACATCACAGTGATAATTTAGAGGTGTTCTCGACTTTCATTAAAACGAGTATTAAATCAATATATTCCTAGCCATTCCTTGCTTGACCTGCATTCGGAACGCTGGCCGGCGCTGGTATTGTCATGTTTTAGATGACCATTTTTTACACATTGAAGATGAGTGCTAGTCCCAAGCAACGTCTGTTGATTCTCCGTGGAATTACAGCTGATCTGGCAATAACGGAGTTGCATCCTCGGGCGGTCAATCATGCTCATGCGCATGCTAAGACTTTGTGATTAATCTTACTTAGAAAAACAAATTTTCGGCTACTTTGAAATATTACAAGTTTATTCAAGATTTTGCACTCCTCTATTTTGAAACCTGTCCACGTAATGACGAATAATTAGCTCATGGACAAACATTATAGATTAATTGATATTTTGTTTTAAACAATATGCAGCATTTTTTTAAATAAAGTTTTTAAAATTCAGGAATAAATTAGTTATCATTTGTCAAAACTATTAATTTTGATTGGCCTGGAATCTAGAATGAAAAGAACTATCCACAAATGGAACTTTTTTTTTGGATGTTGCTAATAATTTAAAGCAGCCAAACGTTTTGAACCGCGGACCAAATGTTAGAATCCATATCAGCTGGTGGGCCAGATATTTTTATTTTAAACTGGAGCCGGTACGTTTCTAACGTTTATACAATCACATTATCTAGTTTGGGCCAAAAGTAATTAAATTGTATACTTAAAAAAAATACTTTTTGGATTAAATCTGGATATTTAAAAAAATGTGTTTGCGTAAATTGCATGACAGATACCCAACATTTGAAAATTTTTAATCATGTGAATTTATCAACGACCAGTTTTACGTGGTTTCCACATTTTTACAAAATCCAAAGCTTTTGTCTCATTTAATAAGCATTAAAAATGGCTATACTTTATAAATAAAACAAAAGGAACGTTTTCTCAGCAATGTTTTAAACTTAGTCTTTCTATTTATTCTTGCATATTTTAAATGAGCGATTTAACGAGGTTTTTTTGTTTTGCTGCGTCGTTTTCGTTCTAGTGAAAATGTTGTAAATTTGCAATTTCATTTTAAAATGTGTAAATTTTAAAGTACAGAAGTGATGTTCAAAAGTGCATTAAGTGAAAATTTTCAAATTCCTATCCCTTGCATGTGGTGCCGACTGTTCTAACCTACGTGTAGTTACGCTAAGCTAAGTTTATTTAACTTTTCGTTCCTCTGTCCTCGATAGAAAATATCCACCTAATTGAAGACGATTATTTCAAAATTTAATAAATACGTGTTAATCAAGTATTGCACTACTGCTTGATTGAGAGTTTCAGTACATAATCAATGGTGTATATTTGCATCGATAATGTATTGGAGCGGGGCTTATCATGTGTGAAAATAACTTCGGAATGCTTGCGTTCTTGAAATGGGCTATTGTAGCTGTGGTCGAGCTGCCACCTTCTAACTCCCGGGTTCAAACTTCTTTGCATTCATAAAAAAAATGATTACAGGCAGATTTTATCCATAATACCCATAATGCCAGACAGTGAAGGTTAGGCCAAGGGCGAATCTTCATTCTAATATATCATTCTAATGAAAAAGTTTCTTAATTCCAAAATCTGAAGACTGTCTTGAATAATATGTTTAGGTAATGGGCAGCAACAACGGACAGATAAACTACTTACAGCTTCTATTTATTAAATGCTTGATTTAACGATTGCCAGCAACGCCGGCTGGGCGTATCCTATGGCTTACCCTCCCTACTAAAAAAAATCCACTCTTCCTGTGACACTTATGAGGGGTCGTAGAGTTCTCTGCATCTCTCTTAAGTAAGTGTCGGACTAACATTCCTCCCCTTTCCCCACCAGATGCAAGGACGTGGCCAGGACTGCTCTGGTCTGTTGGAGGGAGACACATCCTTTATCTAAGAGGTAATAATTAATTACAAATTACTATCTAACAGCAACGGATGATGGTGGGTCTCTCTTAACAACAGTTTGGAGCTCGTACCACCTACGACATTGTGCGACCTG